CGCGAGCGTAGTGGTGGTGGTGGGGGGAGAGTGGGGGGAGGGGGGCGGGTGGAGGGGGTTCTAATAGCAAAAGCAGTTGCCACAAGATGGCGCGTGCAAGTGTCATCAATAATCAAAGATGGCATCACCCTTTGTGCGTGACAACCTCACTCCATTGAGTTGCTGAAATCCAAGTATATTCAGGCAGGCGAGAATTTCGCTCAGCTGTGAGTTAACATATCTGCATTGCAGGTTGCCAGGCAATAATTATGATTAGAATAGTGCCAGTTCACCCCCATGCATGCGTAATGGGCTGCCCCCATGTTTTTGCCTACCCACGTGAGCATTCAGGGTTCATTTCAGCTGCTTTAGAAAATAATATGATTTAAGGAGCGTAAACCTTGTTCAACAAACATTTGCCTTTGCAATTGAACTGTGCAACTGTAGCCTCACATCCACAATAGCAAAAGCAGTTCAGTCCTTTGTTAACAGTCAACAAATCCATGTTTAACACTCCTCTTGAGGGTCAAAAGGTTATCCAACACTTACTCTTCGCATGTCAGCGGAAAGTACATTTTATGGTCCTTTCAATAAAGCCATAAAAATGGTAGGTCACTGCTGAAACAAAAAAGTTTTTCAATCGCTCCGTCAGACCATGTCATCAGAAAATGTCTAAAATCTGCCCTGTGCCCCATTGACCTTTGACCTCCAATTTCGGCACAGTGATGGCTTTTCCTACCATGATGCTATACATCGACTATCACGAGCCTAGCCGTTTAGATTTGTGCCGCAATTCTGCATTTCCTCCCTATACCTTAAGTTGAGGGAATGTTCCCCCTTCTTTTACACCTCTTGACCTTTGACCCCCAGCTTCGACATTCCAACTCGTTTTCGAATTACCCCCCCCCACGTCCCGAATATCGTGACCGTACGTCGAGCCGTTTAGATTTGTGCCCAACTGTTGACGGACGCACGCACGGCCGGACGGACGCAAGCTCATGCGATTCTACAAGCTGCATCTGACTATGTCAGATGAGCTAATAATGTACATGAGTAGAGACCATAACTAAGCAACCACCTTTGCTTTCCTGTGCATGACATTACTAGAATTACAAGAATTTGAAAAACAACCATTATTTCAGTGCATAATATATATATATTTCTCTCTCCATATATATACATATGTATCAGAGGGTTGAAAATAACAATCACCTGCTAGCCTGAGGATATTGGCTCTGTACAAGTTTTGGCTGATTGTCAAGACTAACCAGCCTGAGTAGAGGGGCTCATGCATTAGTGATGTTTTGTTTTGCGAGAGAGTAGCCACTGCATATCAGAGTCTCCCTCATCCACAGTGCACGTATGCGCGTTCTGGCAATAATGGTATCACTGCTTGATGTACGAAGGGCGAAGTGGGTGCCTGGTTGTTTATGTCGCATGGAGCATGTAACGAATGTCATGCAACGTATTAGACAGCGAGCCGTGCAGCCGTGATTTGCACGGTCAGTTTTGAAACTGCACGGCCAAAAACGTGTAGCACGGCCTAAAATATTGATCTAAAGCCGTGTACATTTGTAAAATTGCACTCCCAAATATTTTTTCTGCACTCCCACAATATTCATTCCTGGCTAATACCCTGATGTCATGGGGGTGGTCACTGCCACTATGAATGGCTACCTTTTCACCACATGGCAGCAGCTTTTTCCAGGGTGTCAGATTTTCAGTGCAGACATTTTCCTTGGGCAATGCAGCATAGCGGATGTAGGAAGAGTTCACAGACTTATCCTTGTGATTTATGCCCTCTGGTCGAAAGGAAAGCTGTGGTTGCACTGTCGATGTCCCGTCTAAGAAATTTAGGGAGGCACAAAACTGTCCTGATAGAGCATTGGTTAAGCTTATCCATTGTTGATCAATACTGCAACACACAAACACAATGACCTCATCAACATACAAGATAGACACTTGTTCTTTCATTAAACACCAAGTATTTATTATATTGATATTACACACAATGTAATTGAAGACGGCAATTCTGGAAAAAGAACGAAGATGGAAAGTATTCTGATAAATAATTGCTCTTATATTTGCCCTCAATATTTTATACTATTAATACAATTAACTAACAATAGGTAGACCTTAGAGAATAACACGAGATTAGAACTTACTCCTCTACAGTGTCTTGAAACCAAACCCACAGCTCAGCTCCAGGTGGGGCATCTCTGACTGGGTAGCCCCATTTGCTGTGTCGCCAAAGACCCTGGGTGAGTGTCAAATGAAGCTCCTGTATGCTGAAAGCTTGTAAAGTATCTCCTAGAGACTTGGGAAAAACATTATAATGTTTTACTGAAAAGAAAACAAACCAGAAATACTTTGCTCATATAGCTACCAGGAAAGCGTTTTCGGCTCCACCATCGTTTAATTTTAAACTGTTGGAAAACACTTGATGCTAATACAATATTAACTACAAACCAGGTCCAAATCCTTTACAAAAAATGTATGCATCCAGTGTGAAATCTTGCATTGTACCACGTGTCTGTAGCGTTTGAGTTTCTAGCTAAAGCAAATTATGCATTTATACTGTGGGCTAGGGTCTTTTACATTATGATTAAGGATATGTTATTTTTACTTTATTTTATTCCATATAGCCTCCAAAGAGCTACTGCACTAGTGATGAGAATTTCGTAAGTCAAACCTGCAAGGGTAGGCAGTTAAAATACTAGTACGTAGTAGTAGGTTACTAGGTACTAGTACTACTTATAGTATTACTAGTAGCAGTACAGTTACAATACATGTGATGATATGTCTAGTAATGACACTTTTGGGGTTCTCATCAGAGTGACCTTTATACGCAGGGTTGACCGTAATATAGACCCCACTCTCGAGTCCAGTGTACCGCTACTAGTACTACTACTAGTAATAGTATAGATACAATAATGTAACCCAACAAGAGTAAGGTTACAACGCGAGCCTATTCTTTTCTTTGGAGGAGCCCCTGAGTGATTCACTCAGGGCAGTTTTATGGTGTGTTTTTCGAGACTAGAACTTTCAAACTGGGTTTATTCTAAACACGAACCTTTCTCCGCTACCCTGGGACTTACTATGTATCACAATACTCTGTATTAAACTAATATAACCTGTACAAAATTTCGAAGTGACGAGCCGCGATATTTCGAGCGCCATTTCTGTTGACATGTGACGTACGCATTCCCAATGCGCATAGCATTCGGCTAACTTCGGCTCCTGTGTTGCCTGACATGCTGGCTCTGGTGATGTCATGACTGACAGCAGGCATCCCATGATGCATTCGATCTTGGAGCCGAAGTTAGCCAAACCCTATACGCATTGGGAATGCGTACGTCACAGGTCAACAGAAATGGCGCTCGAAGTATCGCCGCTCGTTGCTTCGAAATTTTGTAACAGGTTATATTAGTTTAATACAGAGTATTGTGATACATAGTAAGTCCCAGGATAGCAGAGAAAGGGAGAAGAAACCCTAACCCTAACCCAGTTTGGAAGTTCTAGTCTTGAAAAACGCACCATAAAACCGCCCTGAGTGAATCACTCAGGGCTCCTCCAAAGAAAATAATAGGCTCGCGTTGTAACCCTACTCTTGTTGGGTTACATTATTGTATCTAGTAGTAGTACTACTACTAGTACTAACTGGATATCCCATATTTTAAAATAATACAGAACTATATAACAGGCATATAATATAGGCCGTGGCTACGCGTCCGGACATCCATCTCACACAGTGATCTTGCGACACGTACACGCATGATTGCGCAACGGTAGGCTCTGCTGATTGCCGAGTGTGTGTGCGTGAGAGAGAGCTAGAGGTGTGTGTGTGTGTGGTGTGTGTGTGGTGTGTGTTGTGTGTGTGGGTCGGTTCGGCGCACGTGTGTGTAGTGATAAGGAGAGAGAGGGAGAGAGCTAGACGGTGTGGATGTGTGATTGGATGAGATTAAGAGGCTGTGCGTGTGTGTTCGTGAAAGAGTAGAGAGAGATGCGATGAGTATGCGGAACGGATGGAAAGGATATGACGCAGATGCTGTAATATTATATTTTTCATATGTGCTATTTTATTGTGCATCACTGTGTTTTGCGCATTATATTATCTTTGATTCTTTTGGCGTTTTTTCTGTGATCTTAGGGGCAGGTCTTCGATTTCCTAAATGCCCGGCAGTTTAATTTTCAGCGTTATCTCAAGATAAACAAGGGTTAGGGTTAGGTGTTAAGGTTAGGAACTGCCGGGCTTTAGGAAATCGAAGAACCGTGCCCAGCTGCCGGGCATATAGCCACAGCGTTATATTATACAGAGTGGCTATATTCCCGGCAGCCGGCATATATCTGACGGCTGCCGGGCACGGTCTTTCGATTTCCTAAATGCCCGGCAGTTTTAATTTTCAGCGTTATCTCAAGTAAACAAGGGTTAGGAACTGCCGGGCATTTAGAAAATCTAAGACCGTGCCCGGCTGCCGGGCATATAGCCACAGCGTATATTATACAGAGTGGCTATAGTCCCGGCAGCCGGCATATATCTGACGCTGCCGGCACGGTCTTCGATTTCCTAAATGCCCAGGCAGTTCCTAACCTAGTAACGCTAGCCCCGACCAGGCTGTGCGACGGATTGTCTATACAGGCCTGACACCCTTTCATACAAAAATATCACCTCTGCAGATCTAGATGCAATAACTGTGTATACTCAAATAAAACTATTCTATTACACATTTGACTTGCCTTGTCTGAAATATGAACGTTAACTCACAGTTGTCCTGCTTCTAACTAGATGTATCTCTTAATTCACGGTATAATCTGCTATTCTCACAGCATATCAACTTTCCAATCAGCTTTACTTGCCATGTGTTAGCGAGGCAACGGAAACCCGAAAACGGAAGATTGCTAGAAAATACTACAGAAAGAGTACAATAGCTGCACCGATGGCTCTCACGCAAATTCACAACCTAAAGGCAAGTGAAACGATGTTCACAAATGTCTAGGCCATTTGTAAAAACCTTAGAGTGACATGTTCTCGGATGTATGGGTGGTTTACATGAGGACCGCAGATCGTTTAATTCCTTTGTTTTCGATCCATTACGGATTTTAGTCACAGTCGGAATGATAGCAAACATGGCGGCGAATTCATAAATTTTGTTGCATTCGTCTCAAAAGTCGCTGTAAACCCTGTAAGTACCCAGCGGCATCGTAGCGCAACTGAGGTTACAGAAGGTGGACCAGGGGAAAAAATACACGGGGCGGCGGGCGAATTTCGCCCCGAAATGCCGAAAAAGAGGCCCCCGAAAATAGCGATATCGGGGGCGACCGCCAAAGCAAAAGTCGCCCTGGAATCGATTGTCCAGGTCGGTCCCGCGCCTTGCGATCTCGCTCGGCCTCTGGCCTAGCGGCAGCCGGTTCCACGGCGGCGGTAGAATTCCTGGTACGGTGTGGCTGTCAAGTGTTTATCATTAAGCATGCATGTGTGTATTGCATTCAATCAAGCGCGCGCCGCCGGCCCGCGCGGTATATATACGTGTGTGCCTGTGCGCGTGCTTGCGTGTGTGCCTGCGCGCGTGCGTGCGTGCCGGTGTGCCTGCAGGCGTGCTTGCGTGTGTGCCTGCGCGCGTGCGTGGCCTGCGCGAGTGCGTGCCTGGGCGCAGTGCGTGCCCTGTGTGTGCCGGTGTGCCTGCGGGTGTGCTTGCGGTGTGCCTGCGCGCGGTGCGTGGCGTGCCTGCGCGCGTGCGTGCCTGCATGCGTGCATGGCGTGCGTGCGTGGTGCGGGTGTGCCTGCGGGCGTGCCTACGTAGACCCGTAGGACCAACAACCCGTAGGATTAAAGAAGCGGTAATTCCATGGAAAATCCTAATGAAATTCACACACGTTATTTTCCCTGGCGGCACACTCGTGTGTCATTCCGATTGTAGCTTTTTTTGTCAATTCCCCGAAAGAGTTTTGCTGCCGCTCTGCTCATAGTCCAACAATGCCAACCCTCTAAATTTTAGTGTGATTAGTACCACGGCTGAAACAATCGTGCCCACCATACTTCAATCAATGCCGGCCCCCTGCCAGCAGGCACGTACGCAGCGCGATTGGCACAGCCATTCACACGTGCCTCGCGGGTACGCTTTCCAAACCCCCTGAGCTTCCAGGGCCTTACGCGGGCCCTTAATGGACCCCAGCCGCAAGAGACTTCGACGTATAAAGCAATCGATCCTCCTAGCTCGTACAGGGCGGACAATTCACTATTTGGGCTAGCCGTAATAGTTCTGTGTTTAGCTGTGATGTATTCACTATTTCAAGGTGCATTTGTGGTTGTGACTTGTGAGTTTGTGATTATCATGTTAGTCTGTCCAGTCTGATGAATAACTGTCTTGAACATTGACTGTTTGTGTCTGTGTGTGTGTGGGTGTGCGCGCTGCCCCGCGAGTGTGGTATTTATACTGTGCTGTGTGTACATTTGAGGAACACAGCCCTGGAAAAGTCGGCCCTGGAAGAGTGAAAAAGAGCCCTGGAAAATGACAAAGTAGCCGCCCCGAAATGTGGGGGGTTTGCAAAAGAGGCCCCGGAAGAAAAAAATTAATTTTTCACTGAGGTGGACGTATACTGATTCATTTGGTATATCACATGTGTAGTGTTCTTTGGCGATACGTTGGCGATAAACAGCGTAAAAACGACGTGTTTAGCTGCAGCCAAGGTTTGAAACGGTATTCTAACCCTAGCAATACCGTTTCTTGGAGCTACTAGTAACCCTAGACCGAATAATTCTGTCCATATAACCTTTTTTACTATTTGGTGAGGGTTATATTGGGACAGAACGGGGTTCATTGAAATTTCGCTGAGATCGCTGCAAATGCATGCGCTGGCGAATGCGGCCCGTACGGCTGGCTATTGACGTGAAAAAAACCTACCGTTCCCTTCTACATGGCTTTACCTGCTACTGATAGTGGTATATATTCACTTCAATCTTATTCGCTTCTTAAAGATTGTTTTTTCAGAAACCGCTTCGTTCCAGCTTTCTTAAAATCATTCGCGCATTTACAAACAATCAGACCAATCAGAGCGAGTCTTACAATATTTAGCTTGGTTTCCGCTTGTATCTGTGGCCGCTGCAGGAGGGCTGTAGACTCGCTCTGATTGGTCTGATTGTTTGTAAATGGCGAATGATTTAGGAAAGTGGAAGCGACAAGCGGTGTTTCTGAAAAACAATCTTTTAAAGTGATAACGATTGAAGTGAATGTATACACATATCAGTAGCAAGGTAAAGCCATGTAGAAGGGACGGTAGGTTTTTTTCACGCGAATAGCGGCGTACGGGCCGCATTTGGCAGCGCATGCATTTGCCATGCGATCTCACGAAATTTCATGAAACCCCGTTCTGCCCCAAATAACCTTCACCAAAATTAAAATGGTTATATGGGACAGAATTATTCGGTCTATACTTAGTAACCCTAAACCCTTGTTTACGTTGTGATAATGCTGAAAATTAAAAACTGCCGGGCATTTTAGGAAATCGCTGTGGCTATATGCCCGGCAGCCGGGCACGGTCTTCGTTTCCTAAATGCCCGGCAGTTCTTAACCCTAACTCTAACCTACCCTAAACCCCTTAACAAAAACCTAACCCTAGCCCTAAACCTAACCCTAATCTTAACTCTAACCCTAACCGCTTGTTTACTTGAGATAAGCTAAAAATTAAAACTGCCGGCATTTAGGAATCGAAGGACCGTGCCCGGCAGCCGTCAGATATACGCCGGCTGCCGGCGCATATAGCCACTTAGATACAATAATGTAACCCAAACCCAAGAGGATAGGGTTACAAAGTGTCCCTATCCCTTTTCTGCGGAGGAATGCCGCGAGTGAATCATCGGGCCGGTTTGGCTAGTGCGTTTTCAGATACTAAGACTTCCAAACTGGTTTATTCTCAACACGAAACCTTTCTCCGCTATCTGGGAACTTACTATGTATCGTGCAATAACTCTGTATTAAACTAATATAACCTGTTCCAAAAATTCGAAGTGACGAGCGGCGAATATATGTGAGTGGCCAATTTCTGTTGACCTGTGACGTACTTCGGTTTGAAAGAGTGGATTCAGCCGACAATCGGAGGGCGCTGCGTTTGCCGATCGCTATGCCATTGGAAATGCGTACGTCACAGGTCAACAGAAATGGCGCTCGAGTATATCGCCGCTCGTCACTTCGAAATTTTTGTAACAGGTTATATTAGTTTAATACAGAGTATTGCGATACATTGTAAGTTCCGAATAGCGGAGAAAGGTTCGTGTTTAGAATAAACCCAGTTTGGAAGTTCTAGTATCTGAAAACGCACCAGCAGAACCGGCCCGAGTGATTCACTCGGCATTCCTCCGCAGAAAAGGATAGGGACACTTTGTAACCTTATCCTCTTGGGTTTTGGGTTACATTATTGTATCTATAGTAATACTAATCAATGGCTGTTGCTCCTGCGACGGTACCGTCGCCGAATTTTTTTTCTCTCAAACTCAACGGTATGTGATGCCAGCGCCATCTATCGGCGATAATAACTACCGTTGGCTTTTGGTACGATATTATATATACGATTTTATACGATATATACGATAACCCTAACCCTAACCCTAACCCTAACCCTAACCCTAACCCTAACCCTAACCTAACCCTAACCCTAACTCTATTAAATTAATAAAATTTAATTTTTAATTGTTGTAAAATTAATTGTTGTTATTAAATGTTGTAAATAAATAATGTTAATATTTGCGTTAATTGGAAAAAAAATGTTAAACCAGATAAAGATAGAAAAATACAGAAACAGGAAAATAATTAAAAAACGGATGGGATTCGATCCTGCGACCATTCATACTTGGCGCCAGCGTGCTAACCATTACACTGCTGCGACACATTGAAATTAAAATTTTGGATGTGCTATGTATATCGCGAGAAAACAAGCTCAACCAATCAGGCGTCAGTACCGTCAGTACCGTGACTTTAAGAGAAAAAAAATCGGCGACGGTACCGTTGCAGGAGCAACAGCCAAATTAAAAACTGCCGGGCATTTAGGAAATCGAAGACCGTGCCCGGCATCCGTCAGATATATGCCGGCTGCCGGGCATATAGCCACTCTGTACTATACACTCTATGCTATAGTAATACTTAATAGTATAAATTTAACTATAAGTATAATTTATAAATTATAAATTATAATATTAATACTAATACTAATACTAATACTAATAGTAATAGTAATAGGCCTAGTAATACTCGTTTCTTACGTGACTCCTCTTGCCAAATGCTAACGTTCCACTTTGTAGTAAATTGAAAATGTGTATAAATAAATCCATTGTTGAGTGGTTTAATAAATAATTCCTCAACATAGTTATCTTTGTCACAAACGGAAATTGCAAAAAAGCAACAAGTAATGACAACATACAATAACTTGACTACACGGCGGGCTGCCATTTTGACGCACTCTGCAACTCACAGCGTGAGACGTTTTATGCTATTCACATGAATTATAAATTTTCTAGGAAAGACACCTAGGGCAGTAATGTATATACTACTATCATCAAAAATATATGTAGTCTAGAATAATTATAGATAGCTAATTATAGAACACGTAAATCATAAAAACGAGATATAAACAGCTGATCAGTGACATCATACCGCCATCTATCGGGTACAATGAATAATTTATACACCTTTACTTCGGTTGTATTTCGGTAGGGGCCTACATGGGTTGATGGTTCCTAATACCATAGCCTAATACTCCCTGGCCCGCGTTGTCTCAACTTGTTGATATGGTATTTATTCCTTACTCTTATGATTTATTTGTAGATTGCATTTCGGTGTGCCCGGTGGGTTATTTAATTAGGTGAAGTTCCGCAGTGACGACATGCGACGAGTGACAGTCAATCAGTCTGCGGAAACTGGAAAAGGTGTCTGGAAAAACTGTTTATAATCTATGGTATAACTATAAGATAAGCATAATATGATAATAAGGTCACGTGTAGGTCTCACTTCAACTTGGGTAGAGACGCCAGATTATAAACGTTTCTACGTCTAGCCTCTAGGCACAATATATAGGTCTACCTAAAGTACGTGCTGTTGTGCTTAGGCTACATGACTATTAGTATTACTGTATTGGTTAAAATTTATTATTAATATAGGATTATTAATATAGTGTAGGATCATGTCTATTGTGCACTATTACTGAGTGTTTTTATCTTTACAGATTGCCTAATCCATATCATGGTTTTGGATTATCTTATCAAACGCCTAACACCTAGCTGTGATTGTAAGCTTGCTCAGTGCCTGTCTATGCTAAAGTGCCATGCTAACGGTGCAAACAATTTTAGTCTTTACAGGCAGGGAGAAGAATATTACGTGAAATAAACAGCATCAACCACAGATTTATTAAAGGGTGAGTGACGCTGATAGGGTCTATAATGTCTCCCTGGATATATACTGCCGTAAACATATAGCCACAGCGTATATTATACAGAGTGGCTATATTCCCGGCAGCCGGCATATATCTGACGGCTGCCGGGCACGGTCTTCGATTTCCTAAATTCCCAGCAGTTCCTAACCTAGTAACCCTAGCCCCGACCAGGCTGTGCGACGGATTGTCTATACAGCCTGACACCCTTTCATACAAAAAAGCTATCACCTCTGCAGATCTAGATGAATAACTGTGTATATCTCAAATAAAACTATTCTATTACCATCTTTGACTTGCCTTGTTTGAAATATGAACGTTAACTCACAGTTGTCCTGCTTCTAAACTAGAATGTATCTCTTAATTCACGGTATAATCTGCTAATTCTCACAGCATATCAACTTTCCAATCAGCTTTACCCGCCATGTTTAGCGAGGCACGGAAAACCCGAAACGGAAGACTTGCTAGAAAATACTACAGAAATAGTACAATAGCTGCACGATGACTCTCACGGCAATTACACACTAAAGCAAGTGAAACGATGTTCATGAATGTCTGGGCCATTTGTAAAAACCTTAGATGACATGTTCTCGGATGTAGGGGTGGTTTACATGAGGACCGCTGATCGTTTAATTTCCTTTGTTCGATCCATTACGGATTTTAGTCACAGTCGGAATGATAGCAAACATGGCGGCGAATTCATAAATTTGGTTGTATTCGTCTCAAAAAGTCGCTGTAACCCCGTAAGTACCCAGCGCATCGTAGCGCACTGATGGTTACAAGAAGGTAGACGTATACTGATTCATTTGGTATATCACATGTGTAGTGTTCTTTGGCGATACTTGGCAAATAAGGAAACTACGTGTTTAGCTGCAGCCAAGGTTTGAAACGGTATTCTAACCCTAACAATACCGTTTCTTGGAGCTACTAGTAACCCTAGACCGAATAATTCTGTCCCATATAACCTTTTTTATATTTTGGTGAGGGTTATATTGGGACAGAACGGGGTTCATTGAAATTTCGTGAGATCGCATGCAAAATGCATGCGCTGCGAATGCGGCCCGTACGCTGCTATTGACGTGAAAAAAACCCTACCGTTTCCTTCTACATGGCTTTACCTTGCTACTGATATGTGTATACATTCACTTCAATCTTTATTCACTTCTTAAAAGATTGTTTTTCAGAAACACCGCTTCGTTCCACTTTCCTAAATCATTCGCCATTTACAAACAATCAGACCAATCAGAGCGAGTCTTACAATAGCCTGGTTCTC